TCCTCTAGCATTACTAGCTAGCAAAGTGCTGCACAAAGATATGCTTCTTCTACATTCGGAATCTGCCGAGAAAGTGAATAAGTGAGGCAGAGCTGACTCATGGCCACTAAAAATATTTTTTCCTGCGTATCAATAAGAGTAGTCCGTAAACGCATTAGGAGTCTTGTCAGCGAATAGATGGTGAAGAGCTGTGTATGTGTAGGTGCACAGCTTGTAAAAGCTCTACTTACAGGGGGGTAGTGTGGTGGTTGGTCTGGTGGATTGTGCCCATGTAAACTGGTCTAGGGAATGCTAACGAAGAGGATGCTGTAGCTAAGGGGATTGTTAGATATGTGACAGCAAAATACAGCAGTGTAGTGCAGCACTCACGTTTGGTCATTATTTTACCAAATATGCCATTTGGACTCGTGCTGATGAAGCATCGGTCAGATTGGGCATTACATCACGCGTTTGAAACAAGGTCTTTCAGCAGTCACTAATGCAGTGGTCACACCAACGCTGGGTGGAGATGCTAATTGCGTTCATGATGATTGCTGAAAAGAAGGAAGGCGCTATGATTTGTGTTACAAACAATTTTTTTATCAACTGACTGCAATCGTCCTTTCATTTGTTTAGAGGTACAATGCCAAAACAGTCAAAACGGCTCCTGTAATGCCTAGCATCATTCTGTGAAAGTGGTAGTAGATCAGCATCTGCGTACAGGCATTGGCTGGTTGGATTTCACTCTACATACAACTTTTACTCAATAACAGTCAGTAGTATGTGATTTAGCAAGTGCCTTTAAATTATGATTGATCTACATCAGATGGATGTGGACTCTACTCCATTTCTGCACGCATACACTGGATTTTCAACGGCATTCTACTACAATTTTCTCAGCCCATTTATCCGGTGACGTGTATAGATCAAATTTGCATAAACAAGATTTTACAGGACTCCATTTCAGTCATTTACTCCCATCAAAATTATGCCGGTTCAGAGAATGAAGTAAATAAATCTTTGTTTAATTGTAGTATTTGAAAATGTGACTCATTGCAGATCATCATTCATAGCCATAGAGGAATGAGAAATGGGAAAAATGCAGTCAGTAATGTCGTCAACGGTGGTACAGCGGCTACCCGACATTCAAAACTTATGACTAGTTTGGGCAGACAGATCAATGTGAGCAAAATTGTACAATCGGGATTAAAATTGGTTACAAAACAACTGCTATAAGCGTACACTTTTTAGCCAGATAAGGTAAATGACCATTCCCTTTGACGTGTATCAAAGACTCTTGATCACATCCCAAAATAAAATTGCTATACTCCAGCCCTTAAAGCATTGAAAATGGCACAATTTTATAAACGATTAAAATGATTGGTATGCCTATAGAACGCTTTAGGTAAATAAATGAATTTTACTGCTTTGGCATTTTTGAACTGTATTAGAGTGCAAGGAGAGCAGAATCACGATGGGAATGACTCTAACCAGGAATGTCAAGTGATCCATTTCGAATGATGATTAATGACAGACATGATGCAACTCCATGGTGCAAGATGCTGTAAGAGAACACCGAATAACGCTAAAGTTGCAAAGAATATAGAAAGAAAACGATAGCTAGGAAGCATTTGCCTTTCCTCGAGCCTCTAGACGAAATGGACGTCGGATTTTTATACGCTTTGCCAGGATCAACGCTTAGCTGAATACTTATTACTTACGTTGATCACCAATGTACCAACTCAGGTTTGACATCACGGAGACATGTCAATGCTTTGAGTTTCTGGCTATGAAACCTTCTTGCTGCTTAAACTTTCGTTTGCTGACTACTTATGAGCAGCTTTGATAATTTCAGTGATGCTTGTAGGTTATATGAATTAAATGCATGTGAATATTTTCCTGCCAGGAGATAGATATATCTTTTGAAAATGGGAAAGTTATTGTTTGCGTTCCCTTCCACGGTATACGTGGACACTGTACCAGCCCAAGCACTAACTTGTGCATCTGTAAATCTACTTTTTACAATTTTGGTTATTCTCCTCTGAGCTAACACATAACAATTCCCTATGTATTAGCTTACGAGATTCTGCATGCTTCTACGGGCTAAGAACGGCATCAAAATGTGAAAGAGGCATATTTCTGTGTACCACAGTGCCAACTAGTAATGCCAAAATACACTCTAATATAAAGTGGTTTCGACTGAATTACTTTCACTCCTAGGGCACTCTGGATTTACCTACTGAAAAAGTAAAATCGTGCAGAAAACACGTCTAAAATATGTCCAAATTTTCCCACATAATCATAATTTGATTAGATATGGCAAATCAGTATCTGAAATGAAGTTTCATAAACCGGAAATTGGAAATTAATGGGTTTGTGGCAGAAAAAGTTTCGCCCTATGATTCGATGCCCCCTTCTAGTTGAATAGCAAAGACATGCCTTGATTTTTTCTTGCTTATTTATGGTGCCCTGATTACCCCTGTCCTACATGTAAAAGAACAGGTCCTGCAACACTCTGGAATGCTAGACTTTGGAACAAATCCCTCCACTTTTTTACCCTATCATCTGGAATTTCTCTCTCACTTCCCTTTCTAGCCTCCACAGCATCGTCAACCATCTGGAAACTCGGTTAGTCAGTAGAGGAGCCACCAGGCCTGTTTGTGCATGTGGTTCATTGCAGCCTCACCGATGTGACTTTCCTTATCTGTGAAGGGCACACAACACGGGGTTCTGTTGTTACCGCAAGCGTTAGCTATGATCTCCACCCTGTCTTATTGGAAAATACCAACAATAGCGAAGGTTGTTCCCAAGTTAATGCCGATAGCAGGAACTGTTGACCTGTCTTCCTGTGGTGCACAAATGCCAATGCGTGATGTCGAATAAGGGTGATCACCACGACTGTTGTAACCCCTTATATCAACTTCAGCTGATCCTGTTTGACCTATCGACTATGCGCGCTACCTGCTAGAATTATTTCATACAGGCAGGAGCTGCCAGTGTTTTATGCTTCGCCTCATTAACTAGCGACTGCTCCCTTGAAAGCGATGACGCACACTGAAAGCTCGGCTCACACACGCCTGTAGGAGAGCGTAGTCGTGAACAGTGTCGTCATCTCCGTGTTGATGTGTTGGTGGCAGAAATACTGCAGCGTAGTATTCGCAACATATCGACTCATGACTGATAATATCTTGATGCCTAATAGGCCTACTTAATGCGGTAGGAACGCATTGCCAGAGTATAGTCACACACTCTAGTCTGTAATGGGTGACCTGAAATAGAACCTACGAAATGGTCATGTCTATTTTTAATCCCTATTTATTAGTCTTAGTTCAGTTCCAGCAGTCTGTCTATCTCCGTGTGCCTAAAAGGCAAGTGAAAGCAAGGCAGAACTAATCTGATTAGAGAAGGTGGAATTAAATCAGTGCACTTCTCTTTTTAGCCCCCACAGCATCGTCAGCCATCTGGAGACTCGGTTAGTCAGTAGAC